TGGGCAGTGGGGATGGAGGGATTTAGATTTCACATATAAGTAAGATCATATAGTATTTGTCTTTGTCTGACTTATTTCAGTGACCATAATGCCCTCAAAGCCCAACCATGTTGTCAGAAGTGAAAGGATTTCCTTGTTTTTTATGACTGAATGATAATACAATTGTATATATACATATATATATATACACACATAAACATACATACCACAACTTTTTTATCCATTCATTTGTCAGTGGACACTTGGGTTTTTTCTGTGTTTTGGATATAAATAATGCTGCAGTGAACATGGAGTTTGTATCTATCTTCAACATAATGTTTTTGTTTCCATCAGATAGTCTCAGAAGTGAGATTGTTGGAGTCTATGTAGTTCTGTTTTCAATATTTGAGGGACTGTTTTCCTTACGAGCTGTACCAATTCACAGTACTACCAACAGTGCTCAAGGGTTTCCTTTTCTCTACACCCTCCCCACCATTTGTTGTCTCTTCTCTTTGTGATGCTGGCCATTCTGATAGATGTGAGGTGATAATGTAGTTTTGATTTACAATTCCCTAATCGATTATTAGTGATACTGAGCATCACTTCATATATCTGTTAGACAAATGTCTATTTAGGTCCTTTGCCCATTTTTAAATTGGATTAAATTTCTTTTTTCTTTTTTTTTTTTTATTTGCTCTTGAGTTGTAGAAGTTCCTAGTGTATTTTGGATACTAACCCCTTATCAGAAAAATGGGTTTGCAAATATTTTTTTTTTCCCATTCTATACTTCCATTCATTTTGTTGATGGTTTCCTTTGTTATGCAGAAGCTTTTTAGCTTGATGTAGTCCCACTCGTTTTCTTGATTTTGTTGTTTGTTTTTGGTGTCCAAAAAGTTATTGCCAATTCCCATGTCAAGGAGCTTTTTTACTGTTGTTGGGTGTGTGTGTTGGGGTGTTGTTTTTTTGTTTTTTTGCCAAGAAGTTGTATAGTTTCAGGTTTTTAACCCCTTTAAGTTTTTAATCCTTTTGAGTTAATTTTTGTCAGTGGTGTAAGATAGAGATCTGGTTTCATTCTTTTAAACATGAGATCTTGGGGCGCCTGGGTGGCTTAGTCGGTTAAGCGTCCGACTTTCGCTTAGGTCATGATCTCGCGGTTCGTGGGTTCGTGCCCCGCGTCGGGCTCTGTGCTGACTGCCAGCTCAGAGCCTGGAGCCTGTTTCAGTCTGTGACTCCCTCTCTCTCTGACCCTCCCCTGCTCATGCTATCTCTCTCTCTCTCTCTCTCTCTCTCTCCTAGAAATAAATAAAAAACATTAAAAAAAAAAAAATTTAAACATGAGATCTTATAGAAACTTTAAAGTACTAAAGCTTGGTCATTATGACTAAGAAAACTGGTATTATTTCTGAAGATTTGTGTAAAGTATTACTTTCTAATATTCTTTAACAGAATATCAGCATATTCCTGCCAATATCTTAGCAGTGTGGTAGTGGCAGTTCCCCACTGGTAAGTATTAGAACACTATTATGGGGAGCCTATAAGTTATTTTCTATATTCCAAAAGGCTTTCAGAAATCATACACTATAATATGCATATCTAGGCCAAAAATGATTGTATGACTATAGAAGCCATAATATGACTGGTATATAGGCCCAAATGACAGATTACTTTTTGCTTTGGATTAGAAAAGCAAATTAAACTTTGGTTAGACTGGTAATATTTATCATTCGAATATAGCTGGAAGCCTTCCCAGTCTACTCCCAAAGATCAACTGTGACCCTTCACTTTATATAATTCTTTCACTTCACTTTCCACATGATACACAATCTCCTTATAAGTCTCTCTGAAATATAAACTGGAAAGCATTCATTCAATTAAGAATGATCTTCCAGCTTTTCTCGAAAGCTTCAAACTTACTCTTATCCTCGGGACCTTTTTAAGTTGCTATTTCTTGTGTTTGGATTGCTCTTCCCCCAGAAATTTAAATAGCTTGCTTCTTCCTTTTATTAAAGTCTCAGCTCGATAACTCTCTCCTATCTTTTATCCTGGTTTATTTTCATCACAGCATATTACTCTCATACATCTTTGTGTTTATTCATTGAAAGTTTGCCATACTAAAGTTATATGAGATCAGGGACATTGCCTATCTTTTCTCTGCTGTATTCTTACTGTCAAAGAAAATCCCAGAGCATAACAGGTGCACAATATTTGAAGGAATTTGGAAGTTTAACAACTTTTTATGTTATGGAGGCTAGGGTAAATTAGGAGCATGATACCCGTCTTCAGATTCTATATGATAGTTATGTTTAATCAGGAGCCTAAACAAATTTGAAATGATTTAAAATTACTATAGATTCAGGGCACCTGGGTGGCTCAGTCATTTGTTAAGTGTCTGACTTTGGCTCAGGGCATGATCTTGCTGTTTGTGAGTTCGAGCCCCATGTTGGGCTCTACATTCACAGATCAGAGCCTGGAGCCTGCTTCGAATTCTGTGTCTCCCTCTCTCTCTCTCTCAAAAATAAATAAACATTTAAAAAAAAAGCTACTATAGATTGGATAAACTTGTCATTTGCTTTGATATATTTATTTGCCTTTAGTTATTTCTATGGGCAATATTCAACATTAAGTCAAGGTAGTTATTGAATCTATTTGTTAGACCTAGAAAGATTTTGATAATTAGGATTCAGGTCCCGATTGAAGTAGATTCTTAGAAGTGAAGTGAAATTTCTTCAAACCACACTTTATAAATGACAGGGTAGTATTCTAACCACTCTTCTGACTCTAAACCTAGTGTATTTTCTACCTATCAGATGACTTGAAAATAAAATGATTAAAAATCCTGTTTATTAGAATAAGATTCTTTTTTGTCACATTGTTTCTCCATTTGGAAGCACCATCTATTGGGATATTCAGTGAGTTATACATAAACTGGCTTCTGATTGTTTAAAAGATTTTATCTTAACCACAAAACTTTCTTTGGTTCGAATGTATACTTTTAATTATGAAATATGTCAAATATATGTAGAGTAACATAAAAGATTTCTGTGGATCCACCAAAAAAGAATAAAAAGATGCTAACATTAAAGAAAAAAAACAAACAGGCAGGTATGAACTCTGCCTTTGTGTTGTCCTTTTATCATAGAACAATGTAGCAGGATTGGCAAATGGTAGGTACTTCTAGTAAGTGTTGAACTTTTCATAGGACAAGACCAAAAAAAAAAAAAAAAACCCACAGTTTAGTAACAAGTTTGATGTCCTTTATTCCAGGGAAGACAATCCATGGATTGGGGGATTACAGTGCTTCACAATGTCTAACACTCTTCCCAAAAGATTTCGGGCAAGAGAATGTTCTAGAGAAGATTAGGAGAAGCAACACAGAAATAGGGGATGATTGGTGAAGAGGTTGAGGGATTTTCTTGTAAGGGTAGCAGATCCTGTTTTCTAGGTATGATGAGTTAACTAAAAGCTGAGTTAGAGGATTGTGATTGGTGTATGTTAGGTTTCTTGATAAGTGTTTCCTGTAGGTGCAGGGTGACGTAGGTTTGGATTTGTGACTTGGACCAGGCCAGTAGGGCAGCCTCAATTTTGTGGGTTCTGATACAAATTAATGTTAACAAATTAAGAGTCTGTAATTGGCAGTTGCATGTGTTAGATTCAAAATGAGAAAATAAATCATCAGACTTTTTTTTTGGCATTCACAGATACACACTAATGAGTGACATGCCATTAGTTGTAATTAGTAATTTTACTGAGGCTTACATTCAGCCAACCTGTCCCTTGTTTTTATGAGAACTAGCAGAAGGGACTTAGTGCATAAACCTAGCTAATTGCCTCTACATCCAGATCTCAATAACTTTGTGTTCTAATCTCTTACAAATCACACTCTTGACTTCATTACTGCATACACGTATTAACAACAAAAATGTCCTGTGAGAACTGAGGTTTTAGCTTCAGGTTTTGCCCTCCAAAAATATTCAGGGTCAAGTAAAATATTTAACAATCGTTTTAGAATAATTGGCTCTGCCATTAAGGCATATTTATTCATGTGTTTAATACACTTATTGGACATTTACTATGAAACAGACATTTCTGTAAGTCTTAAACAGACTCAGAAAAGTCAACGACTTCAGGAGAGAAACATGTCAACATAACAAATGCAGTGCATGTATCCTCTATTGTTAAGCAGAGAAGAGGAAACCCTAACTCTGCTTGCAGAAGCTGTGGCAGTGAGGGAAGGAAGGCCCCGCAGAGGATGGCAGTTAGATACAATGAGGGAGGTCATTAATAATTTGTATAAGGGCACAGTGAAATGAAAGATTTTTGTCAGGTTTGGGGAACTGCACATCTTTGGATAGAAAGGGAGAGTTCCGATGAGGTTGAAAAATCAGACCATCTTTTAATTGTCAAAGCTTCAAAATTATTGTAAGCAAGAATATGCATGTAAATCAAGTTTTCTGTAGAAATTTCAGATCATACACTTGAATATATTTAGGTACTATAAACTGCTTTTAAAAGGTCAACTTGTGAAATAAAATTTGCATATTAAGCGCTAAAGTAAAACACTTTAATCTCTTTTCAAGGTTTTAGTGACAACACAAATTGGTTAAAAATTTAATGTTTCCAAAATGTATGTAAAGATTTATGATTGTATAACGATGGAGAAGAAAATTTTTGTTAACTACCGTGGAAATTTACGTAGTAACTGGACAGATCTGTAGATCTTCTGTGTGAAGAAATAAATATCGTGGTCATTTCTAATAATACTAAGGTGTGCAGTTTTTTGCAGAGGAGTGAATGCTTGCTTTTTAAAGTTAATGCCTTCCACTTATTTCTTCAAAAAAAAGGGGGGAAGCAGCGAAGACGACCTCCATTAGATCGCGGTGCCTCGCATTTTTCTGGCTGCGGACGAGGTTTGCTGGGCCTGCGCGGGGCGGAGTCGACGGTGACGCGCCCTTGCGCCGCAAGGCATTGTGGGGAGCTCGGGCCCGCGAGTGAGGTGGTTGGAAAGCGAGGTGGGGGCGGCCGGTTGTTTTCTCGTGGTCTCGAACTCGCGCGCTCACGCCCTCCCCCCCCACCCCTGACAAGCGGCGGGGTGGAGGAACGGCGGCGGTGGCAGCGGCGGCTGTAACATCGGATACACTTCTGTCTCCTCTCCGGCGAACCGGTTCCTCTTCCCCCTCCCTCTCACTGTTTGTTGTGTGTTTGATGTGTTAAAGCAGGAGCGAGAACGCGAGCAGCGCCATGAGCAACACTACCGTCGTCCCCAGTACTGCGGGCCCGGGCCCCAGCGGCGGGCCCGGCGGCGGCGGCGGCGGCGGCGGAGGCGGCGGCACCGAGGTAATCCAGGTGACTAATGTCTCCCCGAGCGCTAGCTCTGAGCAGATGCGGACCCTCTTCGGTTTCCTAGGCAAGATCGACGAACTGCGCCTCTTCCCGCCAGAGTGAGTATCGTCCACCATCACCGTCTTTACTAACTCCTCCCCGTTCGGGGCCTAACTACACCATTTCCTAGGCCCTTGTCGACGCGTCCCGGGGCCAGGTTGCTTTCGTTGAGGCCGGCTGTTGGATTTGCTTATGAAAGAAACTGCATATTAGGCTTAATGCAAAGAAGCGGGGCCGCCGTTCCGGGGATTAAAGAGGCACAGCCTTCTAAAATCTCGGGATTTGGAGGTTTTCCTTAAATTGTGCCAACGTGGTCGTTGTTTGAGCACTTAGAAAAAGGCAAACTGCACTTTATGGAATTTGCATATAGTTTAATCAGTTTTTAAAAAAAATAAGATGTTTTGAGTTCTTTGAAAAGTAACAAAATTACTCATTCCTGTGTAAATTTCATAATGAAGTTTGTTGTCAGTTCACTTAACTGTTAAGTATTGCCGTTAACTGATTCTGGCGCAGTGACTATAATTGAGAGTTAATATTCTTTGACAATTCATCGAGCCTGAATACTTAATTTTTATAATGACAAAGGCGAGTTATAGCCGAAATGTAAGGTTTTCTTTTGTTTAAAAAACGTACACATTTATGTTTGACAATTGTTTTTGAAAGGAATTTAATAGAATGTTAAATTTTTGAATTTTGAGTATATGGCTTTTTGTTTTTATTCTGTTGTCTCATATTCTTATTGCTAAAATATTAAACGAGTAGATTAATTGCAGGAAAATATAAATCTCTGAAGTAAGATATGCGATAAATATTAGAACTAACATTTGAAATAAAACGGTGTCCTCTTTGTGAAGAGTGAAAATCCAAACATTACTGTCAGTAAACACTGGGTACCCAGTCTACACTGAGAGTTGTATGATGTCACTTAAGTACAAAACAGGAAATTGGAATCCTCAAGAAATCCACTGTCGTGGCTGTAATACATCATTAAGTACATTTTTACTCTAAAATGATAGAGGTTGATTATACTGCGGTATTAAGTATTTTGCATATTTCATCACTTTCTGCTTTAAAATATTTTCAGATGATTTCTTAGTGTTTTCAGATTGGTGTGTTGCCTTTAATTTTTTGGGGAATATGCATGCAGAGAGAGGTTTCAGAGTTTTTGGTTTTCACGAAGTGTAGAATTCTGCGAACAAACATTTTATTATTTTGAATAGAAACTTGACTGTCTTTGGTAATGTAGAACAAATAGCTTTCATAATATAAGCATACAAAATATTCCATTTTGTCTTGACATACCATTTATTAAGTTGTTAGTGAAATTAATAAATAAGAAAAAGAAAATGAGAGTGACAGATGTGATTACTGTAATCATGTTGTTACTCGAGGTATTTGACATACTGGATTGATTATGAAATAATTCTTTCCAGTCTGGCAAGTTATTAAGAATATTGTTAGAGTTGCTGATTTTAAAATGTTTTGTTGGTTTTGAAAATGCTCTTTTTATGATGCACTTGTCAACAGATGACAGAGGTATATAGGCTGTTTACTGGTTCCTCTTTTACCTAATAAATGATCAACATCTTAGAATCATGATAGACCAGAGCCTGACTTTTCTGCTTTGTTGTCAAAGGAGTAGTTCCATCAGAAACAGGATAACTGATGTGCATCAGATAACATGATCTGGAGTGCTGTGCATTGAGAAGACTCCCTGTATCAGGGAAGAGCAGATAAATATTGACCCATTTTTGCTCTTTGATTCCTTTATATATATTCATATGTATAATTTCCTCATCTGAAACTGTGTAAGGTTACAATATAGTAGATGCCAATATTACCTTACTGGCCTTCGTGATTTGGAATAGTGTGGATATAGATGCTTACTTACGTTGACTTAATGTTAACGTCTCAGTTGCTAATCAGACCTGCGTAATTTGGAAATTGTTTAGTGACAATTTCTGTAAACTTACTAGTTTTCAGCAGTAATTTGCCAGGGAAAGTGTGCTATGGAGTCGGACGTAGATTTCCAGAAAGGTTCATCATTACAAAATATTCAAAAAATCTACTTTTTTACTTGGCGAATAATATTGAATGGCTCAGAATATATAAAATCTAACTATTGTAAACACGTTTGCCACTTGATTTTTTTTTACGGGATATATGTAGTTTCTGTTTTTCTCAAAAGGCATTCATATTCACCTAGAACTCTTAACCTAGATGTATTCCTTTGACATGCTTCCTTTTGTTACTCAAATGTCACCTAATCAGAGAAACCTACCCTGATTACCCTGTATACATAAAAAACACTCCTCTCTTCCTTCTCTGTTCAACTTAACTGCTTTGTTTTTCTCTAAAGCACTAATCGCTAATTGACAGGTTAGATTTAGCTTCCTCCCTCTTTTAGAGTATGTGGCCTCTTGGGTCACCAACGTCACCTAGGGAGCATTTTTTTAAAGTATATTTATGTTTATGACAGCCCTTACCCACCACTACTGAAACACTGATTTATTAATGCCTATTGGCAGGGTCTAGGGGGATTCTGGGACCTGGGATTATGCCAGACATTTCAGTGACAAGCTCCTCAAGAAGGTTTCTCCCTTTTTTTCATTATTGAGTCCCCCTCTTGGTTCTTTTAACAAAATCACTGCCCTGTAAATTTACCCAGTGATGATAATGTTTCATGAAAAAAAAAATTCGAACCCTCTCCTTGGTATGACAGCCATATAGCTATTTGAAAGCCTCAGTAGGTGTTTCTCTCACTCTCTTTTAAAGGAAAACAGTTAATTTCATTCTAGTTGTTCCTAAAATACATGTTGGAGGGTCGCCTGAGTGGCTCAGTCGGTTAAGTGTCTGGCTTTGGCTCAGGTCTGTGCGTTCCAAGCCCTGCGTTGCGCTCTCTGCTGACAGCTCAGAGCCTGGGGCTTGTGTCAGATTCTGTCTCCCTCCCTCTCCCCTCCCCCACTTGTGCTCTATCTCTCAAATATAAAATAAATATATAAAAAAATAAAAATAAAATGCATGTTGGAAATTCAACATTGTTTGAGTGTCTAGTATATGCTAGATTTTTTCCTATTTTATCTTACCCTGTTTTACAAAGAGTGAACTGAAATCCATAGTTTGTTTTGCACTCCCAAACTACTCTACCAGTGTCAGAAGTAGTATTTCAACCCCAGTGTTGTGATTCTCCTTTACTGCTTTGCTTGCTAAGGATTTCTTTTAGCCAAGCAACTTATGAGTGGAACCATTCTTTCACAGTTAGTAGGTATTCTTTAATATTTGGTTTCAGTGTATTTCAGAATGGGGTCTATAACTAGAGGGTTTATTGGGTAGTGATTCCTTGGAAGCATGTGTCAAAGTTATGCATTAACTTGGAGGTTCACATCAATAACTTAAATAATCAAAAATAGATTATTTTTTTATAGTTCCCAAAAGACTTTATTTTCAAGGGAAGGCATAGCCAAGTAGACCTAGATCAATAACTATAGCAGACTCTGGTATAGTATATATTTGATATTTCAAATTGCTGAATGTTAATTCACTATCACAAACTCATATCAAACTAAATGGAAAACAGAAATAAAATTACAGTTTTCTTTCACAGCAGAAAAATCACAATACATTAAATTTCTGAGGAAAAGGTTACAAACATTCTAATAACTATAGTAGAAAAAATTAAAGTTATGGTACATGTCATGAATTGGAGTGTTATTATTGCACAGGGGCTATGCTAATCTTCTGTCATTCCAGTTTTAGTATATGTGCTCTGGAAGTGAGCACCAAAAATAGGTACATTAGTAATAATAAGTATAACAGTACCATTTGGTAACCTGATCTTTAAAAACTTTTTTTTGTTGAATGCAACATTTTACTGTATTTCTTTATAACTGAATAATAACACAAAGTGAGGTCACCTTTTTCAGGTGAATATTACCATTGTCACAGACCTGTTGTTTTGTGTGTCTGGGAGATGCCTCTGTTTATGATTGTAAGCCCAAAATTCTCCACCCAGAAATGGTTAAGTGTTTAAGGCAGAAGTTGAAAGAGTGTTATAGGCCTAAACCAGAAGTTCTCACTTTAGTTGTCATGTATATTAACAGTGGGTGTTAGGAATCAAAGCCCTTCTACCAAAGGGATTCTCCTATAAGTTGGGCTTGATGGGAAAACAGAAATCTGAATTTTCTGTGTGCATCCCAAAAGATTCAGAGACAGCCCTTAGAGGACGCTTTAAAAAACATTGGAAAAATACTACCACTGTATACCTAAAGGCAAAAGCATTGTATAATGCTTTTTTCCCTCTCTTGCTCCTCAGTTCTTTTCAATAGCTGCTTCATCTGTATTAATTCTTAAAGGTAAAGAATTAAAAACAATTATATTTTTAGAAGTGGTACTCGCACAGAATTCTAAGGTATGAAAATTAATTTCAGGCATCAGTCTGAAACTAACATGCTGTCTTACTAGTATGTGTCTTTTATTAATAAATTCTAAAAGGATATAGAAAAGTGTAACCGTGGGTCAAATAGTAATGGTTTTAAACAAGATCTTTTGAAGTGCGGAGAGATGAATTATTTCTCCTTCTGAGTTGTCTTACTATAACTTTTTTTCCATAGTATTATTCATGTTTTTAGCTCCCCACCACTTACAGGTTTGATATAGTCAAATAATAGCTGCAGGCAATAGCTATAATAACTGCAATGACATGAATGGACAGAAAAAAATACGAAGCATCTTAATTGCCAAAGTAATGGAAATACACTGTGAACATATAGGCATATTTCCTAATTTACTTATAAAAAGGAATTGCTCGTTGAGTTGATATTATTTAATACCTTATCATATAGTCATTTTCTTCTTTTAGTCAGATGACAGAATGTCAAAGAAATAGCAGAGATCACTTTTTAAGAAATTTAAATGTCTTCTACTGCCTAAACCATCATGGTAGGTGTTAATAATGAAATGACAGTATAATATAAAGAACTTTTTAAATTTTGTGCTTAAAAGGGTGGATATGTTAGAAATACAAAGTGATACACTTTCTAAAAGTGATGCCATTTCTAAAATTGTTGAAATGGCATTCTTTCCACTGCTGTGGGTGCAACATTGTTACATTATAGACCAGTAGTGCTTCACATTAAATAAACACTGTATCCTTTCAAAAACATTTGGCATTGAGCTTCTGTGATAAGATGACTTAAATTCTCTTTGGATATACCTTATTATCAACTGTGCTTTGAACCTAAGTTTGATTATGTGCGTAGTATATGGGCAGTGCCTTTCAGGAAACATTAAAAATTCTAATGGGTTTGAGTTCTTGAGCTATATAGCTTCATGTTAGTGCTTAAATTATCAGGAAAATTTTCTTTGCAACAACAGATGTTTATCTTTGAAATACCTAGTGTAGCCATATCTGGTGATTACATTTTTATGTATACACGAAAATCTAATTTGTTAGAAAAGTTAGCAACAAGCCCCATTCTAGTAACATTCCAATATATTTTAGGGTTTACCTTTTCGTTATTGAGTTTTCAGATGTAGATGGCTTGTTATAATAAAGCAGTCGTGCTTTATGCTGGGTGCATGTTAAAACTGTCACGGAGAATTAAAGGAGGAGGCATTCAATATTTCATCAAAGATCTTGATTTAATTCTTATAGAATGGAGAATATGGGTTTGTTTGTGTGTGTTTGTGTTTGTTTTACCCCCACTGATGATTACTCCTGCCTTAGGGTTTTGGTTCTCAAATAACTTTTGGTGTGGGGTTAGGAACAGAAATCCTGCTTACTACCTAATCTGCCATAGATTGCACTTCACCACTTGTTTCACCTAAAAAAGCAATTTACTGAGGGAATTTTTGAATTTTTATGTAGGGGTTGGAGTACTATATCCTCAAGTGTACACGTTTTGTGTTTCTCTGAAGGTGATCTGAGCAAGACAGTCTTAAGTATTTATAAGGCCTAGGAGTTATGCTGTAGGGGAAAGAGAATGGCATTTGGTAGGCAGGTCAAGAAAACTCCTTAATTGTTAAAAAGACTGTTTCTCGGAATATTCTTTTGTCCCTGAAGTGGAAATTTTTTGTTTCTTACTCTGAAAAGTTAACAGTGATGAAAAAAGTTTTCTAAACCAAAAGTAATTATTTTTACCTGTAATTAAAAAGTAGGTGGTATGGTATTATGGAAGAAATGTTGACACATTTGTGGTCTGTTCAGACTCTTGAGATTATAGTTACACACTGTTATTAACTTGAAACACTGTAAATTTAAACAGTGATTGTTTTTCTCTACATGCAATTCTAGTGAGTTCTAGGAACTCAGCGGGCTGTACCTTATTGAAACATTTTCTTTTGAAGTGGTTAAATAAAATAATACATACCATGGTATGTATTTTTATCTGCCTATTTTACTTTTGGAATGTTTGTGAGTCCTACATTTGTGTTTTAGCTGATATTCTTTGTCTCTTTTTTTATGTTATTTGTTTATTTTTTAGTGATTCACCTTTGCCAGTTTCATCCCGTGTCTGCTTTGTTAAGTTCCATGATCCGGACTCAGCAGTTGTGGCACAGCATCTGACAAACACTGTATTCGTTGACAGAGCTTTGATAGTCGTACCATATGCAGAAGGTTTGTGCTTTGTTTAACTACCTATGAGGGCATCCTATGATGACCATCTACCTCAGTATAGTTTTAGAGTGAGCGTTAGTAGCATGTTAGAAATTTAAGCTATTAACATTTTGAAACCCTTGTTATACTGTAGTCCATATTTTTACTTGCAGATGTTTTAATTCTAAAAATTAGAAATCAGACTTGTTTTTATAAGATACTTTTTGCATTCTTTTAAAACATTTTAAGTTCATTGAAACTGTGTTCCTGTTGTAATTTCTTAAGATATATCTACTTAGTTAATGTTGAGTTTTATGAAAGAGTCCTGAAGGTGAATGGTTCACTCCATGCACATTTACATAGAAACCTTCAAATAAATGCATGATGTTATTTCTGTTTTAAATAAATGACTAGGTTAGTTTTTTTATTATTTTTTTTTTTTTATGTAGTGCTGCTTCTCACAGATAACTTAAAAAAACATCCCACATTGAAATCCAGTATACCAAGGGTTGCAACGATTTTGGTTTTTATGAAAGTTCAAGATTTCCTATAGCTTAGGTGCCAGATGGGCACTGGGTGAATTGTTTTTATGCCAGATTTTCTTGTTCATTCTTGCTATATTTTCTAGATATCTCTAAATAATAAATTCTTCTCTCTGTTATTTGTGTGTGTGATTTTTGTAGTGGAGAAGGCAAATGCAAAACTCTTCCAGATGACTGAAAAACAGTGGGTCCTCTGCAGCTACAGGGGATTCTAGACATTAACTAAAGGCCAGCAAGCACTCAAGTCCCCCAAGTGTTTTCCTGGTGTAACCACTTGTTAATAACTACATTTTCTCTCTTTTTACATTTTAGGCTGTTAACGTAACTTGACAGAAAAATAATGAGCAGGGTTTTTGGATCTAAAAAAGCCACTGTGACAAGACAGCACTATTTTAATTCCATTTTGTAAAATATTCTGAGAAATTTTATAATTAGTTTGTTCCCAGTGTACTGCTACTTTATTTGCTTTTTGGTTATAAGTTTTGATCAAAGAAATCACTGACGTATGAGAAAATTGCTGGATTTTAGGCTAATAATTTAACATATATACTGACCAGAATTTAAATGCTTTCCCCTTAAACTGGTCAGTGGAAGCAGAATCTTGATATTGTTAACTTTAGATGCTCTCTAGATCTTTGAATACCAATGTGAACATTTACACCATACCTTGTAAAAGTTGTGAAATGTCTAGTCCTTAAAACTTGGAAGAATTGCCTTTGTGGTTTTCTAAAGAAATTAAATTACATTCATAGATGGATTAAGGCATGTTATATAATAATAGTACATCTATCTCCATGATATTAAAGTGTGTGAACCCTATTTTAAGGTTTTAAATTATATATGTGCTGATAAACGTTTGAGTTTAGTGTGTTTTGATTAAGCAGTTTCTTTTTATATCAGTGTGCCTGTTGTAGGGGTAAGGCTTGACACCAAGAGAAAATTTACAGAATTCAAATTTAGGATAAGTAAAATACAGTTTTTGAAACAAGATTCAAATCATGTGAGTAATGTGCAAAACTGTAGATAGGCTTTAAATTTAAAGAATTCTTATTGTCTAAGTATATTTTCCAAGTCCTGAACATAATACAGTATATCATATAAATGGCTTTCATAAATACTTTTAGGCCATAGTAAACTTCCTAGTATCTGTTTTGAAAATGAAATGTTTAGTAGGAGTGTATATAGAATTACAGAAATACTTAGATTCAGAATCTATTTTTGGTGTATTTAATTATTGGTATGGTATGCTGTATTAATGTTGCCACCGTTAAATAACTGATGTACTCAATCCCTTTGTCACCATTCACCCTAGTTTTAGCTCTTACACTTTGGTGTTGGCTCTTGGTCAGTATTTTAAAACAATAGACACAAAGTCTACGGTAAGGAATAGTTTTAATTGGTAAAATCTGAGATAGCTGGATATGGAAGGAACTCTTAATAGTAATGGATTTGGGGGTTATTTAGGTTCCTTGGTTAATGTTTGTTTCTTTTGTCTGTTTCTTTTTCTTTCATTTCTACACATTCATGCAGTATTTCATGGTTCTATCAAAGCAGCAGTAAAAAAAATACTCTTGACGCATGAAAATTAACTGGTGAGGGGCCTCATTGCTATTTTTAAATTGTAGTTTTATTTTTAAATAGTCTTTTTTAAATCAGAGGATCAGATGCATGACTTTTTTTTTAATGGATGCAGATCTTCTATCAGGTGTCTCACAATAAATTCAAGAGGATGTTAGTTTGCCAGAAATATGTTGCAAATGCACTAATTTGAGTAAGATGTTGATACTTAATATTATCCTCTTGAGACATAATTTTGCATGCAAAATTATCCCATAATCTTTATAGGTTTGTTAATATTGATGCATTAATGCCCTATATCTAAATGATCTTCTCCCCCCACCCCTCCATAACTCTTGGTATCTAAATTGATGACAGCTCTGACACAAGCAAGATAACAGTGCTGTGTAGTATACATTTGTTTATATTATCGGCACTTCTCAGTATAGGTGGAAGGAACCATTACCTTTATTTAACAGTGGTTTTTCTTTTTTGTTGTTGTGTTTTACAGTTCTTTTCCCTGGTTCAGCCTGAACTATATACCAGGCCCTGCTGAAAATACCACCCAACAGTTTTCTTCTGCAGCTTATCCAGTTTCTCTTAAGTGCCCTGTACATATTGTATGTTTTATGATGAGATGCAGTTTCTTAATATGTATTACAGAAATACTACTGGTATTTGCAAATATGTAGTTTAATTGTATTATTGAACTCTCATTTTGGGGGCTTGGGCACATTAACAGATTAATCCATCTGTATAGGGCTTTTGCTGTTGGATAGAATTTAAATTGTCTACATAAATATTTGTCTTAGGACCCTCAGATTTTATCTGAATACACAGATTAGGCTTTAAAAACAGACATACATGTTATTTTTGGCTTTAGGAGTTTGGTTGAGTTAGCTTTTGAATTGACACGTAGCAGCATTTTTGGTATGGTTAGCATGGCACATGTTGGAACATAAAGCATTTTACTATACAGGTAAGGAATGTGCCATGTTGTTTTACCTATTCTCTCTCTCTCTTACTCACTTTCACACACACATCCTGTGTGTATTCAGAGACCTTCAGAAACATTCATATTCATTTTCATGAGTCAGCAAAAGCCCTACGCTTGATTCCAACAGAATATTTCCTTTACATACTTTTCTTCTCTTAATTTTTACAAAATTTGTATGGTAGGTGTAAAAGAAAATCATAGTAACTGTACCATATTATTAACCCCTAAATCAAACTTTTTTTGTCTTGTGTATCTTGATTTTTCTGTGTGCTTTATAGTGAAGCAGCCGACACGAGTCGTTGTTCATAAAACAGCTTTTGAAAGTTGAGAGCACACCCCTGGAGAACCGACTGTGCTTGCTTACGTTTGGTTCATGACTTAAAAATCGAGTACAGGTGATGAAATCTTGGCAGTGTTAACAAAAAAGTAGTGTGTATTGTGCTATTTTTTTTTTACTCTAGAAACTTAACCATTTGTAGAGAAAAAGGAAACAAATTTTCACACATTGAAGTTTCATTCTGACATAAAATTAATGATAAATAATCTTAGAAGTCAAGCTTTATATTTTAGCGAACATAAGTACTTTCAACAAACTCAGGTGGTGTATCAGGGAGACATTTTCTGGGTGTTTTTGTGTGTTTTCTGTCTTGCAAAAGAGTGTGTTCTAATGCGAGGATGTTTCTCTGCAGGAGTTATTCCTGATGAGACTAAGGCTTTGTCTCTGTTGGCACCAGCTAATGCAGTGGCAGGTCTTCTGCCTGGTGGTGGACTCCTGCCTACCCCTAACCCACTTACCCAGGTAATGGTTCCATTGAACTCTTTTTTTTTTTTTTTTTTTTAATGTTTTTATTTATTTCTAAGAGAGAGAGACAGCATGAGCAGGGGAGGGTCAGAGAGAGAGGGAGTCACAGACTGAAACAGGCTCCAGGCTCTGAGCTGGCAGTCAGCACAGAGCCCGACGCGGGGCCCGAACCCACGAACCACGAGATCATGACCTAAGCAAAAGTCGGACGCTTAACCAACTAAGCCACCCAGGTGCCCCTGAACTCTTAAAGGATAGAAAGGAACACAGAACTGTGGATAAAACCTAAACATTATTTGAGCTTTTTAAGTGTTGTGATGATTATAGTTCACAAAGCGACACCACAGTAGTATAAAGCCTATAATGTAATCATAAATACTAAGGAGAACATCTTGGAAATTTATGTTTTAAGAACATTCTGAAAATCGTAAATCTGTTATATTTGGTTTTGCCAGTAACTCAAAATAACTCCAGGAACTATGTGGGGAGGGAGGTAAAAAAAAAAAAAACCTCACGAGGCATGAGACTTCAGTTGAACGTGCTATTGAAAATAGTACGTTCGTTTAGAACCAGAAAGGTGAACAGGCTATTTTTTTCTTTCTCGGTGCCCTTTTGATTTTTTTTTTTTTTTGGATCTTTTGCTCTTGAGGTTTGAATTAAGTACATGGCTTGAAATAAAGATGAATTCTTGATGGAGATTTTTAACATGGGGAAGATGAAATAAAGTTGGAGAAAATTTTTGGTGGGTAGTGTTTCTCACCCTGATTGGATACTATAAAAAGTATGTCATTTTAAAACTAAAAGCACTTCAAATTGAATGTGTTCTTCAGAGATTATAAATGGTCAGTGAGTGATTTCATGGATAATGGTGGACTGCCAGCCTCAACTAGAATTTTGTAAATAACAGCATTTTTTTCTGTTATTTTACCTGTCTAAATAGTTAACTATTAAGTGACTGGTATAGTACCAGAAAAGGATGACATCAGGAATTCCCATCTTTTTGAATATGACTTTGTCACTGGACTCCTAATTTTTTACTTACAAAATGAGGATCTGGGTAACTTGTAGGTAGATGCCTTCAGTGTATGAATTACGTAATAACTAAGGTAGACACTTTTATAGTAATAGTAGCTGTATTTTAATTATTCTCTGTAAACAAAGTACAGAAAGTTTGGTACCTTTTATTTACTACATATTACTAGAAGCTAGGAGAACTTCACACAGTTCTTACAGAGAAAGTCATACTGCCTCCAAAGCTATAGTACTTTGCATGATTTGCATCTGTTATTGATTAGAATTATGTAAGGCACGAGACAAAACCATACCATAATTTGAATAGAAAATGAGAGTTACTAGTAACAGGAGATAATATTTAGTGCAACTCCAGTGAATACAGTAATCACAGGTATAGGAAGCAACTATTACTTCTAGAGCTGAGGAAGAAAGAACACAAAAACAGAGTAGATGAGGGCTAAGTTTCAGGCCTCTTTCAGAAAGGATGGATAATACAGAAATTCTCTGAGGTGCCCACAGAGCTTATAGGAAGCTGCCCAGGAAGATGGCACCAAAACTCACTAACAAGATGAAAGACTCTAGGCATCCCACTACAGTAACAGTCAGAAACGGGACATAGGAACCAGGAAGAGAAACCCCTTCCACAGTGTCTTTCTAGGTCCCCCCACAAATAAAGCTTAACATCATGCCAGATGTCGAGAGAAATGCTTATAAGTGTGCCACTTCCATTATCACTGAACAGGGCAGAGGACAGTGGATTTGGAGCTGAGAAGCAGTGAATATTTAGAATTGTTGGCACAAGAATATATTGCATTTTTAAAAATATTCTTCTAACTTCTGGTTGTAGGAATACATGTGCTATAAGTGAAAAGTGAGGCCACTGTATATGGCAGGGGCAGGCTATTGCAGCCCTTGGGCCAGACTCCCATTTTTGTTAATTTTTATTGGAGCACAACCATGTTCATTTGTTTATAATTATCTTTGTCTTGAAGCTACAGTGGCATAGCTGAGTAGTTGCAACAGAGCTTAAAGACTTAAATCAGTTATTACAAGGTCCTTTAAAGGGGAGGAAAAGTTGACCCCCTCGTATAAGATACAAAAATTAAATTTTAAATAAATAAAATTTGAAATTTTACAGATTGGCGCTGTTCCACTGGCTGCTTTGGGAGCTCCTACTCTTGATCCTGCCCTTGCTGCACTTGGGCTTCCTGGAGCAAACTTGAACTCTCAGGTACAACTTAAAAGCCTTCAGTTTTGAGCTCATTTTTATAAATAAAGAATTTGTTCCATTAACTCTTAGGTTTGCATTTCTAGAACAGGAGGAAACTGATTACTGTAGTGTAGTAATGCTGATTTTCATGTAAAGTTGTGAATGAAAGGTTTAAAAGGTCACTGCATTAATAGCCCCTTAACCATTAGAGAATTTCTCATTTTATAGAGTTCAGAGTAGTGTCACAAGAAGTCATTATGTTATGGAGTCAGAGTAAATAGTCATGAAAGGATGGGAACTTTGCTAAACTTTTTTCTACAGTCCCTACTTTACGGAAATTTTGTATTATACTGCCTAAGCACTTGGAGTTCTGTTTTACACTTTTCTTTGAAATGTTACGTCCTCAGAAAGTCTTAAAATAGGCAAGAAGTAATTGTTTTATAAAACCTAGACTGTTAGCTTTATGATATCCATATTTAACTTGGTGTAAAGCAGCTCAACTTAATATGACCTATTTTACTGGCATACTTCTGTTGGTTTTCACCGTGCCTAAAATGATGTTACTTTTTGGAGGTTGGCCAGATTGTTCTAAGACCTTCAACATACTGGAAAAAAAATAGCTGTCACTTATTTTATGTACTCACTGTTATATTTTTTGTTTTTGCAGTCTCTTGCTGCAGATCAGTTGCTGAAGCTTATGAGTACTGTTGATCCCAAGTAAGGAATTTTTCTATGTTTCCATTGGTATGTGAATGTCTGGAGAAGTTACTTTTCGATAGTTAAAAAGAAAGTTATCTCAAGTAGTACAAAACATAATTCTGTTTTCTAGAAACAAGGAGAAAAATTCAGAGGTAAGCCCATCTGTAAAGGGTTTTGTGTTAGTATAATTTGAGTCTTTCTGAATAATTGTAAGTCCCTTCTGCCAAGATGACCAGAAATGAGCTAAATGTTATCTTTAGTTGATTGTTTTGAGAAATGTATACTGAGTACCTGCTATAAGCCTGTGCCTTCATAGCATTTATACTGTAGTCAGAAAGGGAGACATTTAAATATTAGTAAAGTATGTGTATCTAACAGGAGGAAGTACACAGGTGCTGTGGGAACTTAGTTAAGGAGAACCTAATACTAAGATCAGAGAGGCTCAGCCTGGGGCATGAATAGTAGATAGGAAGACAAGTGAAGGAAAGGAAACACTATTCCAGAGCAAAAGAGTAGTGCGTGTCACGTAATATCAACATCTTAGGTGCTTTGCAAAGTTCTTTGTGCTATAACTACATTCTCTAGTTGATATGTAGTAGAGTCACGAGATATTTTAATTGATAATTTCTTATATTAAATTTGAATTTAGTGCTTTTCCTACTTAGTGAATTTTCACTATCATTAAATGGGAGAGCATGGAGTGGGCGGGGGGGAAGGATCATTTGACTATGGTAGTTAAAGTGGCTTTTTTTCGGGGCGCCTGGGTGGCTTAGTCGGTTGAGCGTCCGACTTTCGCTTGGGTCATGATCTCGCGGTTCGTGGGTTCGAGCCCCGCGTCGGGCTCTGTGCTGACTGCCAGCTCAGAGCCTGGAGCCTGTTTCAGTCTGTGACTCCCTCTCTGACCCTCCCCTGCTCACGCTTTCTCTCTCTCTCTCTCTCCTAGAAAT